GGTTTCATGAAATGAACTCAGAATGTCAAGTTATAATGAAATCTTCATTTTGTGTTAGTTTGTCATGATTTCTTCACGAAAACACGTTTTCCTATAATGGAAACTCGTTTCTTTTTGCCTGATTGTCCTTTAAAAGCACGACATCTCCAATCTCCAGGTTAGGCCAGTCCAATTGCCATTTTCTTCTTGTCTGTAGTGTAGTAAGATATTCTAGCTGCCATCGTTTCCAGAATGAATTGGCCAAGCATTGCACTTGCTTCCATTGTTTCCTGTAGAGGACTTTGGGATCAAAATCTCCAGCAGGGGTGGACACCACGTTCAATTTCTGTGTGAGAAGTGCAGCAGGACTGAGCACCTCAGGTCGTTCTGGATCAGATGACACTGGAACTAAAGGCCGTCCATTCATTATAGCACTGACTTCTGCCATTAGTGTGACAAGAACTTCATGTGTCAGACTAGGTGAATGTACCTTGAGCAACATAGCATCTAAGATGCGGCGAGCCACTCCGATCATTCTTTCCCACACTCCTCCCATGTGGGAAGAGTGGGGAGGGTTGAACTTCCAGGTACATCCATCATCCTTAAGGTAAGCTTGAAGGTTTGGATCTTCCATGTTTATTTGCAATTCTTTGCAAGCGCCGACAAAGTTTGTTCCGCGGTCTGAACGGAAGAGCTTAGCTGGACCTCTGATCGCAGTAAATCTTCTGAGGGCGTTAATGAAGCTTGAAGTTGAAAGAGAGTCTACTACTTCAATATGAACTGCTCTTGTGACTAAGCAGGTAAACATAACTGCCCATCTCTTGTTTTCTAATGCTCTTCCCCTAGTAAGACGCATACAGATATTCCACGGCCCGAATACGTCTAACCCGACATGTGTGAATGGTGGAGCTTGGCTAAGACGATCTTCGGGTAGATCTGACATTTTTTGTTGCTCCATCTTCCCTCGCAGTCTCCTACAAGTTACACATTTGTGTATCACGCTTGACACCAGCCTTTTTCCTCCAAGTATCCACAGCCCCGCAGACCTTACAGCTCCTTCTGTTATGTGTCTGCCTTGATGAGCAGACTGGTCGTGGTAGAACTGAACCTATAAGTTGGCTATGTGGTGATTTTTTGGGATGACTATAGGATGTTTCTGACTCCAAGGGACTTCTGCAGAAGACAGACGCCCTCCTATTCTCACCAAACCGTCCGTGTCGAGAATGGCACTCAAATTTCTGAGGGGACTGTGTTTAGATACTAACTCTCCTTTGGAAAGACTTCGGACTTCTTCCTTGAATACTTCTTCCTGTACACAGTGGATGATTACAGTCTTTGCTTGTTTGAACTCATCTACTCTTTGTGCGCCTGTGGCCGAGGATTTAGCTAAGGATCTGATTTTGTGAATGAGTTTGGCGATTGCACGGGCCAAAGGCTTCCAACTGGAAAAACGCTCAAACCTGTGTGAACCAAGCGATGTTCTAACAGCTGTTGTAGCAAATGTTGCTACAAGTGGTCGCACTTCGGCATCTGATGCTGGCTGCACAAGCTCAAAGCACTCTGGCTGCGATGTAACATCTTCCTCTCTCTTCTTCAAAAAGTCCGGTCCGTACAACCAGCTACTAGTAGCTAGCGATGCTGCTGGTATAGGTCTCGTACCATGATCAGCAGGATTGTGTTTCGTGTCAACGAAATACCACTGACTGGGATGTGATGATTTCCTAATACGTGCTACTCTGTTGGTGACGTATACATAAAACCTTCTGCTGGTGTTGTTAATGTATCCTAACACGACTCTGCTGTCAGTGTAGTACTTAACTTTATGGACTTCTATGTCGAGCTCCTCCAGTAGCGTGTCAACCAGCTCAACTGCCAAAACGGCAGCACATAACTCCAGACGAGGAACAGTATGAGGTTGTCGTGGGGCTAATTTGGACTTTCCCATGCAGAATCCCACATGAACACATCCTTCATTATCCTGTGTTCTGAGGTAGGCCACAGAAGCTATCGCCAGGGTGGAAGCATCTGCAAAGACGCACAGCTCTCTCAGACTTGAAGACCTCAAAGAGGTGCGTAAGTACTGTCGGGGAATCTGTAGCTTTTCAAGATCCGCTAATGAAGTTTTCCATGATCTCCACTTAGCCTCTTTTTCGGCTGGTAAAGGTGCATCCCAGTCACAGCTTTCTGAACACAATTCTCTAATAAGGGCCTTGCCTTGCATTGTAATTGGTGCTGCGAACCCTAGAGGGTCATATAGGCTATTGACGGTTGAAAGAACACCTCTCCTTGTGAATGGTTTTTCTTCCTTTAAGACAAGGAAGGTGAAGCTGTCCCCATGCAAGTCCCAATTGAGTCCTAAGCTCCGTTGCAAAGGCAGAGGTTCTGTACCGAGGTCCAGATCTTTCAGGTCTGTAGCACGTTCCCCTGCTGGAAAAGCTTCCATAACTGTGGGACTATTAGAAGCTATTTTATGAAGATGGATATTCGAGTCTGCTAACATTTGCCTTGTGTTTTGCAGGGTGTGAATAGCTTCAGCATCAGTAGGAAATGAGGCAAGTCCATCATCGACATAGAAGTTCCTTAAAACGAACTGTGTCGCTTCCTCACCATGTTCCTCTTGTCCTTTCCAAGCGGCTCTCCTCAAGCCGTATATGGCGATGGCCGGAGATGGACTATTGCCAAACACGTGCACAGTCATTCGATACTCTTTGATGATTCTGTTAGGGTCATTATCTTTAAACCAAAAGAAACGCAAAAAGTCACGGTGGTCTTCTCGAACGACAAAACAATAGAACATTCGTTCTATGTCTGCTGTTACCGCCACAGGTTCTTTACGGAAACGGAGAAGGACCCCGAGGAGGGTATTGTTCAAATCCGGGCCGCTCAACAAGACACTGTTCAGAGAGGTGCCTTTATGACTGGCACTAGAATCAAATACTACTCGTATTTGACCAGGCTTCCGAGGATGGTAAACACCAAAAATTGGTAAGTACCAACACTCTTGATCCTTGTTAAGTGGAGGGGCCGGTTCTGCATGACCTGACTCAAAGATTTTCTTCATGAAGTTGAAGAAATGTTCTTTCATGTTCGGTCTTTTTTCAAGCATATGACGCAATGATTCAAAGCGTTTGATTGCTTGATCCCGATTATTGGGAAGCCTCTGCCTTGCTTTTCTAAAGGGTAAAGGAGCTACCCAGCTGTTTGAGTCATCCTCGAAAACTCCCTCATCCATAATTTCAAGAAAGGCTTCATCATCTATAGACATCCCAGGTTTGTCATCATGTGGTGTCCTCTGAAACAACTGTTTGCTGAGACTGTCGGCTTCATCACAATCCATAATCTCCACAATGCTTGGGGAATCACTACTTATTGCTGTTCTGTTGACTTTCTCTTTAATGTAGATACTATTTTTACAGGGATCCAACAGAGTTGTACGGCCATTAGCCAGCACTGAAGTCCTGTAGACACAGACATTAGTTGGCAAGTGAGCTCCTCCCAAGCAAACTTCTCCTACTATAACCCAACCTAAGTCCAGGCGTTGGGCAAATGGATCATCGTGGGGGCCATTACGGTATTCTCTGACCTTGTGCACCCTTGTTATGTCTCGACCAAGAAGGATAAGAATGGCTGCATTGGGGTCTAGAGCCGGGATCTTATCTTCTATACATTTCAGATGTGTATAATGTTTTGCAACCTCAGGGGTTGGAATTTCGGATCTATCATCCGGAAGCATGTCGCACTCGATCAATGAGGGAAGAGGAATCCTGGTTTTTCCGTCTAGTGACTCTACAACAAAATTGTTTGCACGCCGACCTGTTGTCTCAAACATACCTGAGCAGGTTTTAAGAGTATATACTGTCGGATCTGCCTTAATGCAAAAGAACTCAAAGAATTTGGTTTTCGCCAATGACTTATTGCTTTGCTCATCAAAGACTGCGTAGGTCTTAATAGCCCTTTCTCTCTGTCCAGATGGATAGATTTTTACCAGACAGATCTTTGAGCAGGACCTCGAACTATTCAAACTTCCACAAACACTAGAGCATTTTGTTGTTACCGCTAGAGGGGGGCTCTCTAATTGCTCCCCGCCCTGAGGTTCCATGGGTGCTGAAAAGGCAGTTTTCCAGGGAGCTGGTCCTGGATGCAATGCTGTAGGATGTTGGCTACTATTGCATTCTCTACAATGCACAGTCAGGTCACATTCTCTAGCCTTATGGCTAGATGAAGAACAGCATTTGTAGCAAATATTCTTGTCTTTGAGAAAAGCTTTCCTGTCTTGTAAAGGTTTGCTCCTAAAACCACGACATTTCATAAGGGAATGTGGTTTGTTGTGTAATGGACATTGTTTTTCTGGGTCAATCACCCTTTTTTCTGTGGAGGTTGGGTGGAAGTCCAAATCAGTTGAGATTTCGGTTTTCCTGACAGATACTGGGTTCTTGAAATGAGGTTTTTCCATTTTAGGCATGTTAGGACCACCAGATAGTAGAGGCGTGAAGCTTGGATCGTTGAGCATTTTGGCTTGGTCACATACAAACTTGACAAAGATGGAGAAAGGTGGGTAAGCTGTACGGTGCTCATCTTTATAACGTGAAGCCAAAGAGATCCATCTGTCATGTAAGTGGTATGGAAGTTTCTGAACAATAGGATTGATGCCCCGGGATGTGTCTAGGTAATTAAGACCCAAAAGGAATCCATCGGTGCGAGCTGCATCAATCTCCATCAGGATGTCTCCCAATTCTCTCAGCCTGTGATTCTCTCTGTTTGTCATCTTTTGGAAATCATCAACCTTTTTTAAAAGGGCATTTTCTATTATCTCGGGTGACCCATAACAGTCTTGCAGTCTTTGCCATACCATGTTGACACCTGTTGATGCATCACTAATGTGCACAGCTCTGATCCTTTTTGCTTGCTCTGACGATCTTGGTCCTAGCCATTTACAGAGAAGATCAAGCTCTTCTCTTGTTGACAAGTTCAGGTCTTCGGTGGCGCTGAGGAAAGATGCCTTCCAGGCCCAGTAGTTTTCAGGCTTATCGTCGAACTTCAGTAGCCCAGAGCTTACCAGTTCTCTACGTATCAAATACTTGGCTAAGTCTGTTGTAACAGATGAGCTGAACTCTTTAGCTCCAGCATTTAGATGGGGAGGTGACTGTTCGAGCTGGGGATCGAGGTTATGCGATCTGTTGCTATATGGCTGTGCTTTCGGTGCACATGGTTGCTGCTGGTTTCCATGTGGTAGATAGGTGTGTCTGTATAAGCTCTTGGTGTGAGGATGATTTGGAGAGCTGCAAATGTTGTATTTTGGCATACACGAAACTGGTGACTCAATATGCCTAATATCATTGACCTGGCCGCACTGTGCATTGCTCTTTCCTATGTAGAAGACAGACATATCACCACTGTCTACTTGTGCCGGGCATAATGGTGCAGTTATAGGACATGCTGACTTATAGCTATGATGATGATCAGGTGGTGGATTTACTACTGCTTCATCCAGAGCATTTTCAGCTTTAACACTTCGATAAGCCGCTTCTCCAAACTCATTTTCAACAGCTGCCTCCAGTATTTCTGCTTCAGCTATGGCTGCTGCAGCTGCGCTCTCTAATCGTAGTGAGTATAAGTTGGCTTCGAGTTCAGCTTTCTTTCTGGCAGCTTCAGCTGCTGCCTTTTGTTGTTCCTCTGCGATATAAGCTTGTGCTCTTATCATGTCAGCTTCTCTCTGAGCAAAGGATGCTTGCGCCCGTGCCGCTTCTGCTTTAGCGCGCGCCTTCGCTACTACAATACTGGCTGAAGAACGCTGACTAGAGCGTGAGGAGTTGGAACATTGTGATCGCGTTTCTAGCATTTCTTCCATGCTATCCATGTTGCTAGATCGTTCCATATTTATTACAGGCTGGAGCACACAGAAAGCAGCGTCTTCCGTACGGTTAACTTCTGTTCAGCTTCCCGAAGAACGAATGTCTTTTCACTATTCTGTCCTTGCTAA